GGCGCAGTTGCTCTGCCCCGGGCTTCCTGGAATCAGTGGCTGATAAGTTTCAGCAGCAGCTGACTTGGTGTTCTTAAGTTCAATCTGTATGTAAGTCGTTGAAACTGATCAGTTTCAGCAGCGGCTGAATCTGGATGCCAGTTCCGACTTACATACAGATTCAACTTAAGAACAAACCTACAGTCCCTATCTTGTACGTAACCCGGGGACTGCCTGTATTGCTCGTTGGTCCATGCATGGGTCCTTGCTGTGGATGTAAGAATAGCCATTTAAACGGGTAACTGATAATCATGAGCTTATTGGTTACCCAAATGGCTTCCCGTGGCTCCTCTGGATGCCAGTTCCGACTTACATACAGATTCAACTTAAGAACAAACCTACAGTCCCTATCTTGTACGTAACCCGGGGACTGCCTGTATTGCTCGTTGGTCCATGCATGGGTCCTTGCTGTGGATGTAAGAATAGCCATTTAAACGGGTAACTGATAATCATGAGCTTATTGGTTACCCAAATGGCTTCCCGTGGCTCCTGGTCCGGCTTCTGAGGAGCTGATTGCCACCCTGTGTTGTGCCTGTAACACAGGTTGTAGCGTGCACCCTGGGAGTGGGGTGGCAGGCAGGAACCAGTGTGCGCTGGGAGCCAGCTTTTAAGTGTGTGATTGCTGAAATTTCCAGCAGTTACATGGTTAATCAATTACACGCATTTTAACATTCCTAAACGTTACTGCTGTATAGGTGGTGAAGGTTGGACAGACCAAGTGTGTCTCCAGTTTCTTCTCACAGTAGCATGGTTTGAGTTGGAGCTTTTGCTGTCCTCTTACCTTTGGTGACACATTTTCCAAACTTTTTAGGAAAAACTGATTTTTATTTTGTTCATAGTTAGGATTTTATTGCTTTTGGAATTATTTTCTAATTCCTAGAAATGTTATAGGATTAAACATTTCACCAAACAATTCCTTTTACCCTTACCAGCACCCAGATCTAGATATTAAATTATCCCAAAGATGGTGGGATTCAAAGTCTGTTCTTCCTGTCCTTGCTTGTTTTCAGTTAGTGAAGATCACCAGTGTTGATCATGTGGATTTTCCATGAACAGAACAACGTCTAGGTGCAGTGTCTGTCTCTTCTTCCCAGCCTACCCATGGGAAGGCCAAGCTCTTTGACTCAAAAAGTACCTCTTGGGAACCACAACTAGGCTACAGATCCTGGCTGGGGAACTGTCATGAT